AAAAAAGGAAATCAGAACCAAAGCCAAAGCAACCAGGAAATTACAGAGCTTAGTGAGGGAGACATTTTCAGATACAAAGGTTTTCAATTACCACTCGGAAACAAACAAAAAAAAAATCAATGTTGCCCAGTATTTCATACTTTTTATAGAACAAGAAGCATAACCATTTGATTGGGACCATCCCCAAAACAGAAAAAATAAATCAAGAGTCTTGTAAAAATGGCCAGTATGAAAGTCCAAAACCATCCTCTCCTTAAGACAATAGGGACAAAAAAATACATACTAATAATAGCTTGTGTAGCAGCTAACACAGCTGCAAACCAGAAAACGGGCTTCTTTTCAAGATTGCGAATCTCCCCCTCTCAGCTTTTTCCTGTGTCACCACTCCCAACTTTTTTAGACATATTTCTTTCCCCTGCGGCCGCCTTCCCATGAAATTTTAACACCACACTTCTACTGCGTACCTACGTGCTGTATGTGTTTTATACACGAAAAAGGATATATCTTCACTCCCCAAGAACCATTTTCTGCCTCCATGCGGGCAACACGGCCCCGTGAAAAACGCGTGCTTGAGGCTTATGCATTCGCTACATTCTCCCCAGGTTTTCTGTTCTCGTTTAGGACAACGTCGCCCCTAGCAGATCTCAAATATTTTGGCTCCAGGTCCTTCTTGACATTGGTAAAAATCTCTGAGGACCAAGACCTCGGGGCGTGTGGATTCTATCTACACTCGTTTACTGCACCAGATGCTGAAACGCAGAGGAGGCTGCTGGTACCTCATATCTGTGTCCACATTCATCCCATCGCTTTACCACATCACATAGTGTCTGTCAAGTCTCCCTGCGTGCTGATGGGGAAAAAAACGAGGGTGGATGTGGAAAATGACACGTTAGAACGATGTGTTACGTCGTTTTGACATCGCCAAGTTGTGGGGAACCCCTCAGGGGTTCCCTGGTCAACCCTCTACCATTATGACTAGTTGCCTTGAGCATCTATCATTTAAAGCAATATGCGAACAGCGGGATGATCTATTTTTTTATTTTTTTGGTGATTCTAAAATGCCAAAAGCTAATGCAGACGCTGAGCGACAAGGCTGGTCCACGGCGGCCGGCCTGGAAGGACGGGGGCACAGTGGTGACTTACTGTTTGAAGGCAGGGCTGTAGGTGTACGCCGTGTTACTGCTCAAGTTGTAGATGAACGGCAAGTGCTTGTGGATGTCCGCCGTCGACCAGCTACTGAAGAAGCTATTCAGCAAGCCTTGATCGGCCCCTGCACCGTGAGCAAACACCCCCAGAGGGTAAGAGGGTACGGTGGAAGACCCCACGAGAACACAAGGGGCGTTTGAAGGGCGGGACATAAACACATGCATTCAAGGTGACTGGTTACATTTCTCCGCTCTGCCCGCTAGCACATGACCACGGTCTCACACGGAGACGGCAGTTAACGCCATTTATTTTAATTAACTAGCGTTAGGGGATACCATTAATGAATTACCATTTATGGTAATACCATCAATTACTCTGAATACCATTTATGGTAATACCGTGAATTACTGTGAATACCATTTATGGTAATACCGTGAATTACTGTGAATACCATTTATGGCATTACCGTGAATTAGTACCTTTAAAACCACTCATTGATATATCATTCATACCATCAGTACCACAGCATTAATTTAACAAGTGCGTATTCTCTCCGAAATTTACCACCTTAGATAACGCAAACAATTAAAGAAAAACATCTCCCGCTGTCTCTAAAATTCTCCACTCCGCGCCAATGAATTCTATCTGACAGCAACACTGCTCTCCCCACCATTTTTGCCGGCTCCCTTAACGCCTCATCCTCACACCGAGAGCCAATTCTCCAGCGATCCGGTACGTCCTTTTCCATTACAAAAAGTCTAGCCATTTTCCCACCCATTAACGCTCGTTTGGTCAAATATTTGGCCTCTGGTTGGCTCCCTTTCATTCTACCCTTTACTCTTATCTGTCAGGGGTTGGCCAACTTAGGTCTGTTGTCTGTTTTGGTAAACAAAGTTGTATTGGGACACAGCCAAGCTCGTGTATGACGTCTCGTCCACGGCTGCTTTCACGCTCCGACTTGCAGGGTTAAATATTTGCAACAAGAGGTCCCATGGCCCATGACGGTAAAACGTGGCTTGCCTGGCCCTGTAGAGAACGGCTGGCACACCCGTTCTGTGCAATAACGCAGGCGACATCCTCAGCGGTTCTCTCTGTTGCGTATCTACTCACCAATGTCCTCATTTATTCCAGTCGCCCTGCCTGGCCTTCTCTCTGACCCCTACCTTTCAGCGACTTCAAAGCTGCCATGCACAGATTCGGGGGGATGGGGGTGTGGCAGGGGCACAGGTTCACCGAGGGGCAGCGTCCTGTCACCTACCGTCAAAGCTGCCGTGGTCGGTGGCGTGCTGCAGCAGGAGGCTGTGCGTCTCCAGAGAAGGCTGGAAGACAAACACCCCGCTGTTGAAGCAATCCGGCCAGCCGGGATCCGGGGCCGCCGAGAACTCGCCCCGATCGAACAGGTCATCGATGTTGGACAGCACCTGGGGAAACAGAGCAGCGGGGGCCTGCACCAAGACGCCTCCGACCCCCGGGACGCAAGTGAGAAACCCAGGAGGGGCCAGACACCGTTCAGAGGCCGGAAACCGGGGCCCGGTTTTATGGGTGACTCTTTTCTCTTGGGTTTGTCCAGTCGCGCGCCACATGACGGTGTTTTGGTCAACGAATGGCCGCGTATATGACGAGGGTCCCATGAGATGATGATGATGGGGCTGAAAAGTTCCGATCACGTAGTGACATTGTAGCCGTCAAGTCACAGCCACCGTAACATTGTATCACGTGTGTGTGGGGACGCTGATGTCAACAAACCCACCCCACTGCCAGTCGCATCAATCTCTACAATATCCAGTTACGTCAAGTATGCCACGTGATAATGATGTTAGTGGTTTATATACACGTTACTGTACTATTTATAGTATATATTATTGGTCTACATATACCTGTTACTCTTCTATTTATAGTATATATTATTGGTTTACATATACGTGTTACTATTCTATTTATAGTATATATTATTGGTTTACATATACATGTTACTATTCTATTTATAGTATGTATGCTACCGGTTTATACATACGTGTTGCTGTACTATATACAGTATATATGCTACTGGCTTATATACACGTTACTGTACTATGTATAGTATACATGTTACTGCTTTGTACATGCATGTTAACGTACTATAATATAGTATACACGCTACTGATTTATACATAGGTGTTACTACATTACACTTTCTATCATTCATTTAGGTTGTACCCTTTCTACTTATCAAAAAACAAAACCGTGTGCTGTCAACGGCGTGCCGTGCCACGCAGGCAGCAGCCTCACATTTCTCGTGTTCACCGCGTCTCTTGGTTGCATCGCTTTTTCGTGGGCGTGGCTTACTCTCGTGCCGTATTGTGCAGTTGCATGCTGTCCAGCCGTGTGGCCCCGGAGCCGTAGGCTGTGCCACCCGGCCCAGGTGCGCCGCAGGCTATAGCATCCAGGTGTGTGTAAGTGCAAAACTGCCTAACCACACACGTCGCAGAACGTGTCCCCGTCGCTAAGTGAGACACGACTGTATTCAAACGAGAAGACTGTGCAAGTGAGACTGCTCTCTGGTTTATGCCGAGTGATGGAAGTCTCACCGCCTCTGAAACTCCATCATTTTCTCAAGGTGCTTAGGACCCTCCTAAGTGCATACCTTCTCCCAGGCAGCAAATGTGATCACTGCAGCCACGGACACCCCTGAAAGGAGCGGTCTGCAGATCCGTATAATGCAATCAGCTCCCTCTGAGAAGCTGGCGACTAACTGCCGTCCCCTCCGCCACCCGCTGGCTTTCTAAATTGGGTTGTGTTTGGGGAAAACAGAAACACAGCATCGCTCTGAAAGGCGGCTGCTTTCACCTTCGTCTCCTCCTCCTGCACAGCTGCTTTTGCACAAGCAACACAATCGAACGTGGGCCTCCGACACTCCAACGTCACTTAACATTTCGAGTTTCCAACAGCTGTTTCTGAGAGCTCCCCCGGCCATGGGGTCCTGCCCCCCAAGGTCACACCCCGGAATGTAATTATCCTACTTTGTATAGATGCAATGGTATGAGCATACACCCCTCTTAGGGGGGGAATGTGATTTCAAGTCCCTCCGTGTCCTCAGCGGGCTCTAGTGCCATGCTCCGAGGCACGTCCTATTGACTGTGACCCACGGAACGTGGACGTTGGTGACAGATGTGTTGGGTCACCTGTGGGGGCCCCCCTGCAGGCCCTAGCAGCCTGCTGCAGGAGGGAGAGGCACGGTGTCTGCGGGGCTCCCTACGGCGTGCAGCACCTCATCCTCACCGACCCGCCGTACTCACCAGGGTGTCCGCATCCAGGAAGACACACTTGCTGTAATGGGTGAGGGTCCAGCAGTGAAGCTTGGTGAGGGTGACGCCCAGCTCAGGTCTCCTCAGAAAGGCCAGGTGGATGTAGTCTGCGCTGTCCATCAGGTTCACCTCTAGTACCTCGTCGAACACCCTCGACAGGATCACCCTGGGGAGATGCGTGCCACATGCCAGGAGAACAGCACTGAACACAGGACATGTCCCTCCAGGAAGGCACCCGCCTTACTGCTCCCACGCACGGAAGCCGGGCGGGTCCAACCCCCCAGCACGCTCACTACCGTCTTCATATCAGAGTTTTCTGTCTCCCAGGGACATCTCGGCGCTTTGCACACTTTTCACGTGTGCGCCAACACTGTGCAAACTCGAAAAGCGTGACCGACTGACTGATGGAGTGGTCTTAACCCTTTTTCTGTGACGGTTGGATACATCCGAATGAATATATCCGAAGCTTTTATACATAAAAATGTCATTGACAAACAAAGCAGCTCACGTTGTTATTACTAAATGCATAAAGTAGTCAACATATCAACTTTTGTGTGTGTGTGTGTTTGTGTGTTTGTGTTTGTGTGTGTGTGTGTGTGTATTTCTGATTTCTCCAAGGTCTCGAGGCCTACAATGTTTGAGCTTTTGCATGATTTGAAACAGTATCATTTTGCATTCACATTTACACTAATTGGGCTGAATACAGAAATCTCATTTCGAGACTATTTTGCCCCGGAAGGGTGAGATAGCAACTATCTCAACCAGACCGATTTAGGACTTTTCCTTCATTCTTGGTGCTCTGAAACGCCACCGCTTCGTATCGACATTTCACTTTTATTTATCCATTCATCAGCTGAACACATGGGGAACACTCTCAACCTAACAGCCTTTGTCAGACCCGAAATACGAGGATGACATGAGTTATTTCCTTCTATTCCATTCCCCCCCCCTTTTTTTTTTAATGAAACTCTTATCAGACAGATATTGGAGCTCCTGCATCTACCTTTTTAAATCCTTTGGCCGCTTTTTCTTGTGCACTGTCTCCATTTGTTTCTGCTTTTTCCTTGTACAGTATTCAAAGCCACTTTCTCGCTAAGCCAGTACTATTTCATCACCAACGTTTCCCCTGCATTTGGCCCAATTATTTAAGGAATTCATGGCATCCTCCTGGTTGTGTAAGGATCGGGGGTGGGGAGGGGAAACAGCTATCACTCTGTGTCACTACAAATAGCACCACCATTTATGTCCTGGCGTGCTTTTCTCCAGCACCGCCTGCTCCCCTAAAATAAATTCCTAGAAGCAGAATTAAATTTCGTGAATAGAACCTGGTTGAAGCTAGGCGCACACGCTCCTGGGTTTCTGACCCTACAGAAAGGCTGACCCCCACTCAACCCTTGCACCACACAGCCAGGTCATTTTTGGTCATTTTTGGTCACGGGTCACTGTCTTCTACTGTCCCAGATGGCACGATGCCTCAACCCTTCCAATGACTGCGAAATATGTAACGTGCCCCATAAAAACGCTCAGCTAGGTCAGCAACGCCAAACGCTTCTCAGCATTACTTGACGTTCTTTAAATAGTTTAAAGTTCATC